AGCAAGATTCAACTCAAAAGGAAGGAAGGAAGGTCACAATCATACAATGCTACCCTATGCACCTACAAATAATGCAGAGCAAGAGAAAAAGGAGGAATTCTACAGACAACTGCAATCAACACTGGACAAGACCCCATCTCAGTTGGCGACATCAAAATCCTAATGGGTGGGGTGATATGAATGCCAAACTGGGAGGGGACAACACAGGAAGAGAACTCATCATGTATCAAGAAGCATTCGGTGAAATGAACGAGAATGGAGAATTGTTTGCAGAATTCTGTGCATTCAACAATTTGGTGATTGGAGTCAGGCAGTGTGTTCAAGCACAAGGATATACACAAAGCGAGCGACATGGATTTCACCAGACACCAGGACACAGTACACTAAAAATCAGATCAATTTCATATCAATGTGAGGGAAGTGGACACACAGCCTACTTGACACAAGGTCAAGAAGAGGAGCAGATGTAGGATCAGACCAGTCACTATCTAGTCCAAGCAACCCACCTTCCAAATCAAGTTAAAAGCCTTCAAGGATGCTAGTGATAGATCGCAGTTGAAGTACAACACTCGGAAATTGAAGGACGAAACTACAAAGTAAATCTTCACGGCAGCCAGCCATCAAGACAAAATGGGAGATATCGAGGAACATCCCTGGAGAAACCTGTGTAGATGAACATTGGAAGTCTTTGAAAGAGATGTGGAAGGAAACTTGCACAACCGTATTAGGAAGGAAGAAGAAAGAAGATAAGGAATGGATCTCGATGGACACATGGAAGCTGATAGGGGAGGAAGAGGAGGATGGTGAAGCAGAAGATAAACCAGTGCAAGGATGCTCAACGACAAGAGGAACTGAGTACAATGTAAAAAACATTACACTGGACAAAGAAGTGAAGAAGAGTGTATGGAAAGACAAAAGACACTTCTATGACACATTGGTAAGTGAAGCAGGACAGGCTGCAGGTAGGAGAGGCAGAGACCTGACAACATTGTATCAAATAACCAGGTTACTCTCTGGGAGGGAAGAGATCAACACAGCACAGATGAAGCCAATAAAAGATGATGACGGAAATATAATTACCAAAGAAGTTAACAAGGGAAGCGATGGGCTAACCAATTCAAGAAGCTCTTGGATCGACCACCACCACCACCTGCACTTCGTCCACAAATACCACCTACAGCCGCTGAATTACAAGTGAACATAAATCCTCCAACAAAGGTGGAACTTCTGAGTGCCATAAAACTGCTGAAATGTGGGAACACAAGAGGACCAGATGGGATCCCTCCAGAAGCACTGAAAAGAGACACAGAGACAACCACGGACATGCTCACACCACACCACTATTGCAGAAGGTTTTCGAGGAAGGGAAGGTACCTGCAGGTTGGTTGTAAGAAGGGTTGCCTTGTTAAACTCCTGAACAAGGGGGACCTCAGTGTTTGCAAGAACTGGCGCGGAATCACTCTCCTGTCCACCCAAAGCTAGCAAAATATTAGGCTAAGCGATGCACTTGACTCAAAGCTACAACCGAAACAGCAGGCTTCAGGAAATACAAATCATGTGTAGACCAAATTCCAACGATACACTACGCATCATCACTGAACAGAGTACAGAATGGCAGTCAACTCAAATCTACCTCAACTTCATCGACTTTGAGAACGCCGGCCTTCAACAGCGTCGACCGACAAGTAATTTGGAACTGCTTCAATACTACGGAATACTATAAACCTATATCAGCCTCATTCAACAACTATATGAAGACGCCACATACTAGCCAGGTAATTCACAATGGGAAGCTCAGTGATGCCTTTGCACTTGAAGTGAAGACAAGAGTGAAACAAGGTTGAATACTATCCCTCATGATATTCCTGATAGTGGTCGACTAGATCATGCAGCATACAGTGAGCAGCGAGAAGAGGGGGGTATGCTGAACCGCAGAAAAGAACCTAAAAGAAGATTTGGATTTGGAAGTAGCCTACTTCACCTATCTAGGCAGCACTGTTTCAAATACAGGCGGCGGCACAGATGAGGATGTCAAAGTCAGAATCGGAATCGGAAAAGCAAGACAGGCTTTCATTAACTTGAAACCAATGTGGAGATCTACTGCACTCCACTCAGCATGAAGCGTGAACAACATCCGGATATTCAACACCAACGTCAAATCAGTGCCTCTGTGTGATGGTTCAGAGACTTGGCGCGTTACAATAGGGATTTACAACAAACTACACACATTCATCAACAACTGCCCACTACGCTGGCTCGATACTGAAGATCAGATGTCCAGAATGATGAGAATAAGCAACAAGAAACTGTAGCTGAGAACGAACCAACGAAGCAAGAAGTTATCGCTCAACAAATATGTATTGGAAGGAAGTGGAGATGGATTGGGCATACACTGAGAAGGTGGACTGGGGACATCACGCGTCAGGCGTGGTCGTCGAGTGGAACTCCGATGGGAAGTGACGAGTCGGGCGTCCGAGTTGAGGGTGACATGGAGGCGATCGTGTGAGGAGGAAGTGAGAGCTTGTGGGCTGTTGTGGAGCCAGGTTCCAAAGATTTCAGAGAACAGAGTGCATTGGAGACGTGTTAGTGAAGCCCTATGTTTCATTAGGAACCCAAAGGACTAAGAATAATAATAAATAGAGAATTTTACCGGTTATTGACATGAAGGCTCTGTGATTAGGCCATACTGTTCAGAAAACCTAGAACCAATGCGAACATCTACACCAGACATCAATTTACATTATATAAAGGTATATATACTGAGATACAGTGTCAAGCGTCTCAAATAGATAGCAATGTTGCACAGGTAAACGGTTTTTTGGATTTTGTAGCTGACGTGCGTGAGTTCTTATGTGTGTGAAAACTGGACAGTGAGGTACTATGAAATTCCATGTTAGATTCGTTTATTTAATATGATTCTAATCACCAATTTAATGCTCAAAACGTCATGAAGTGAATAATACTACATCACCTTTTGTCTCATCGAATAAACATACCTAGTATGGAAGGACTTGAGTTATTTTTCGAATTAAAATATGTAATTTGAAATATATTAATTTTGTCAATGGTCTTCACACTGTTTTCAGATGATATATGTAACATAACTCATCAAACGTGTCCTGTGGAAGGAGCTTTAGGCAACAAATTGTAGGTGCAAACAATATACCATCCACTTTTTAATAGGAGGCTCATTCAATTATTACTTTTTAATCTTGCCTGTGGAGGATGCATAAGCGGAATTCCTTATGAATGAAAGTATGCATATTAACTTGTTCATGAACTTATTGTTTTGTTCTTATGTGCGTAACATTTAACGACTATACTATCATGCATGTTTAGTGTTCTCCAGATTTCAACAATGCTAAATCCACTGTCGCCACTCAATGAAATGACACGATACCTAGGTATATCATATTTGATGTTCGAAAGTTGGGTACGAAAGTTTGCACGCCCTATTAAGTCTAACTTCTCATTCTGTTGCTAAGCCTTGACAGAATGTATACATCATTTGATTGGCAAACAACAAACGTAATTTTAACGGCCACCTTAGCAACTGTTGGAACAGCCAATCAGGTTTCCGTATTTTGGCTAAAACGTTAGCTTTTCATAAAATACAGATCCACAATTCGTTGTTTTAACAGTTCCTAGGGTGGCCATTAAAGTAATCCTACAACAGAATGGAAACAAGAAGCAAGCAGACATCAGTTACACTAAACCCAAGTAAGTCTTGACCAACAATGTTTAGTCACTTGAGACAGTGATTCACAAATGCACAAATTCACAAAACAAACTGTCTTATCAATGAAAAACCGTATATGCTGCAAATAATTATTCACTTGATCTGTACAGCTTAATGGACTGTGAGACAAAAGTTGAGTGATAGACAGAGTTTTACTGAACCTTAAAAAGACTTGCAGCCGAGTGAATGCTACTGTCTTTAAATATGTCTCCCAGTGATATCGCTGAGATTTTGAGAAAACTCCAATGAATTACGTCAATCAGTGTTGATTGAGATATGTTTTTCTGCTATCGGTATAGTTCAGCGTGAGTACTTCCGACTACAGAAATGAGTGAGAGACTGAGACCATTAGTTCTTTCAGATTTGTAAAACCACACACTGTAGACACTAAAGACCACAAAATCTACCTTTAAAAACCTTATAAGCTTCTATGAAACTCAGCAGTGACCAACCAATGTATGTGATCCAGTCCTACAGGAGGTTAGTCGCTGCCCAAACAGTCCAGTGGTAACGTTGCTGACTGCTAACCTTGGTTTGAATCTCAGTCGCGACATCAGTCCTTTTGAGGTTGCAGATACGCTTTTCTGACGACTTCCAACTAGCGCAAAACCGAGGTCAAGCAGAGCTTCCTGCAGGCTGCTTCAACCCAACTAACTCAGCAGCTGAATTTCGAGTTCAGAAGCGACAGAGACGAATTTTCAATTAAAATGCTAGCATGAATATTACTCTTAAATTTGACCAATACGTCAACTGGTTGAGGACTAAATTACTATACGACTAATGAGAAACGACAGAAGCTCGTATTAGTTTTAGGATATTTTGCAAAGGATGAACCATGAAAATTTGAATGCCTACCGAAAGAAAATCAGTTTACTTTCTATTCTACTCAGATTATCCGTATGCGATTACTTCTATGCGAATACGTGCTTTTGGATATTCTTAAGGATAAGTAAAAAGTATTTTAGGTCGTCGCATTATGTAATTATATCAGACTGCAATAAGATCACCAATCTTGTTATTTAACATTTATATTTTGTAACCAAAATTTTCTTAAGCAGAAGGAGAAAGGCAGAAAATTAAGAGGATAAAATTATGCGACGATTAGAAGGCAAATGGTTGCACGTCACCAAAAAGATAGAAGTGTAAGCAAAAATTTGGCAACATTTACTCCATCCCTTTAAATAAGTCAAATAAATTTAATCAACATTGACAGTCTTCACGGGTGTTTTGTACTTTAACTTACATCATTAGCAACTACTTGTTAAGAACGTTTTGCAGTAACCGGCTTGATAATGTCACCCTTTTGCTTACTCATATCTAAATTGTCGGCTGATAAGCATCTCGTAAACGTGCGCAGATGAATATCCCGATTATCAGGATAGCGAGATTTGTAATGACTCCCTAATCTTTTCAATTTTCTATGACATCGATGAAAAGCTTTCATTTCAATATTCATTTGAACTGGTTTGTAGTACTTTAAACGGCAACTGTCACACAAGTCATCAATTCCCTCACAAGACGATGATGATGAGGTTGGGATTAAACATTTATGATCATGCATTTTCTCTATGGTATAGAGATAATCACATTCGCGTATAGAACGTTTACACCTTGTCCCGTGTAATTCTATATTCATGATCACATCTCCATATGTTGAGACAGCTCTTCTGTTGGTGAGTTTACGGTTTACAGGGATTTCTGTCAGGTTTCTTCTAACTTTTTTCTGTTTGTTCACTATCCCTTTAATTTGCTGTGGAGGCAAACTTTCGTTTGTCCAACTGTGAAATTCCACCTCTCCATACTGTGTAGATGCAAACGTTCGCTTAATTTGAGTGTTGGGAATTAAATCAGTTTGATGCATGTCTGTTGTTGAAATATAGTGATTTAGTATTTCGTTATGACTTGATGTGTTTAGTAGTAAGCGAGATGAACTATCAACTATTGGTTCAGAATTGGCAACAAATTTCAGTGAATCCTTTCTTGTAGTTGAAATATCTGCAGTTCCAGATTTAGGAATTCTTTCGTCAACCATATAATCATTAGGTTGCTTGTAAATTCCTTTCGTATATTTTTCATTATTTTTGTTTAGGTCTGTTTTCCAACTAGACGTATTTTTTGTTTCAGTTATGTAAATATACGGCAAATCAGTTTGTGTTGAACTGTCCTTTTGATTATAGTCAACCCTGGATACTATTGCTGTTGGCTTGATTAGGCCAATTTGTGTACTGGTTTCACTTGAAAGTACCAAATCATCACAGTCAGTTGCTTTGGTTAGATGAGACAATAACTCAGAGCAGATATTCTGAATCGTGAAGTCAGTTAAGATAAAGCTGGATTCTTCGTCGATCATTTTGTCGCCTATACTACTTTTACCATATGAAACATTTAAATCACTCAGTACTTTCTCCTTCATATGAATTTGTGTTGAAACATCTAATTGTGTTGTTGAAGGCATGCTAACTTGGAACTTCTTGCCTATCATTACTGGTGCATGAGTCACAAATGATGAAGTGTCGCACACCTGATTAAAGTATTTCATTTTCTGATTTTGAGTGTCACAAATCTGATCAGATGTGAGTTTCTCATCACTCCTCACAGCCTTTAAAGACGGACCAATTTGACATGATACAGAAACATCAAAGGAGCTGGTGTCGTACCAGTAGGAAGACCCAGCTGTGTCAATCTTCTCATAGGAGTTTCAAAACTTCTTGGTCTTTCATTATATTTTGCATATCTTCTAGTATCTTCTCCCTTATCGTAAACGGAGGCCTTGTAACAAGAAATGTCTTCAGTTGTTATTGGCTCAGTGCTTTGATTCCGTTTCACAGTACCCACCTGACAGCTTACATTCCATACTCTCACACTATTCGTTATAAATCTGCCACGAGGAATCTGGTTAGTTACTTGTACTGTTTGGCTAGATACTGGAGCCATTTTGTGGCAAAGCGTTTTACTGAGTATATCACAATTGATAAAATCACACTGAACTGAACTATCTTGATGCACAATTTTACGCATACTTCTGTTACAGTACTGACAGATATATTCTGAATTCATAGGGACCTGCTGAAGATCTGGTTCCGAGTCTAACAAAGGAATATCTAGATTTCCTGTAGGATATATATCTGTATCAGTCTGAATACCTGAATCAATGGTATTGTAAAGATGAGTTTCACCAAATGGATGGTGGTCAATATTCCTTTCAAATGAATGATGCTTTAAATGTTTTCTGGTTTTCACTTTAATCCTTTCGCTGTGAACATTTACATGCCTGCTCCTTTCCTGTTGAGCATGAGGTGACCTTTGTGCAGCAATAGGTGGATTACAGCCCCAAGGCATACCACGTTGTATCCAGCTGTAGGAATGTACTACTGGACCAGTTTCTTCGTTTGAATTTCTTCGATTCCTCTCTACTACTGCAAAAGGTGTAGGTGACTGTTTATTGATATCGCTTGTTGGCTCACTTGGAGCAATATTCAGTGGAGATCTTCGACCAGGAGGTCCTGGTTCAGTGTATGGACTCCCTGGAGCCTGGAGACTAACATCTTTTGGAATGCGTTTACCACGTTTATACCACCATAGAAAAGGGCTCTTACCAGCTTCCTCCTTGTGGGTTTCACCATCAACTCTACGATGGGATTTAGAAGAACACTTTTTATTTTTTACAACAATTGAAGATTCAGAAGGGCTATCAAGTCCTGAACTAGCTGTTGTTTCAGTGAGACTAGCGCTTACGCTCTGTGGTCGAGGCTTGTTTCGACCTTTCGATCTGAAAAATTTTCTTGAAACGCTACTGTTTTTGTTCCCAACAGCTAGTATTCTATCTTCATCAAAGTTGATATTTTTCGTTGTCATATGTAAACTTGGCATTGAATGTGCAGCTTTCAAGTGACTTTCTGAAGTATCACTTGTTTCACTAAGAGACTGGATGTTAGAACTGTATGTTTCCGCCTTACAAGCAAAAGGTGAAAGTATGCTTATCTCATGAAATTCTGAGCAGCTTGGACAATATACAACAGCGGAATAGAATGGCGAATCAATTTGTGTCATAAGTTCTCTTGTCTGTTTGGTGAACTTCACATGGTCTTGAGAAGGTATTTGTGTAATCTGGGCATTTAGTGAATGCTTCATCAAAGGCTCTTCATATTCCCGGTGATCACATGCAGAATCACTATTATTCAGTTTAAAAGTTTTAGGTATGCTGTTGGTAAAACTTGTCACCAACTGTTTGTCTTCATTTACACCCTTCATTCCACTTGAAATTGTTGATGAATGTTTGTGTGAGTTTCTTGATTTTCGTTTTTTAGTAACATATGTAGAAGGCCTAAGAGACAGAAATAACCAGACTAATAAATTGTTTTCACGAAAATGCTTTTATAAATATATTATAAATTACTTTGGGGTGGCTAGTAGGGAAATCCAGGATGTGTGTTTCTTTCTATTTAGGACTTATGAGCTATATATACCTGCATCCCAGTGAGTGATGTCCCCACTGAGACTCGAACCCGACAGAGGCCGACCAATTCGACCCAGCATAATAACAAGAAATAATAGGTATCAATAAATAATAATTAGACAAATAATTTGCAGACATATCCTGGATTAATATACTGATCAAATGTAACTGGAAGAAATATGTTCATGTTCATGACTTAGAACTAGTGATATTGGAAGCCTAACTTACGAACTGCTTAAAAAAGGAAGAAAAAAAGATACCAACAGGTATTTTAGTTGAAGATCAATTCATCTACACATCCTGAAGTTCGTCTTCTTACCAACCGACTTCCAACAGCTAATATTAGTTTGAACAAAGCAATAAAAATGGCATTTGTGGAAGAAAATGAGCTCAATTTATTTCACGGCTTTTCATGAGCTGCAAATAGCCTAATTTTGAAATGAAGTAGTCAACTTTACCGGTAAAATAATGGAGTGGTTATGTATTCATCACTAAAACTGTCCAAGCTGTTATAATTATGGCTCATATAAAACAAATGCGTCTGAACTCTGTGATCACGGAAACGAGATGTTACAGAAGGCATGTTAGTGATACTTCTGTTGTTTGTGATAATATAAGTCAAGCATCCAAGTTTTTTGATATCTTCAACCAGGCTCATCCATAATATGAGTTTTAACATGAAATACGGAAATGAGAAGATATTCCGTTTTTTGGACATGAGTATAAGACGGAGATGTGATGGTACAGTTGAGAAAACCATCCACAGGAAAGACACGTGGACTGGTCAGTACCTTCACTGAAAAAGTTTGTCTTGTGAGCTGTAAGTAAGGTCTGGTCACGACGCTCTTCACTGGAATGAAAACTGTATGCTGAAAAGACAAACTGGAAGAAGAATTCGTTGGTATTGAGAAAACTTTCATAGAGAATGGATATCGGAAGAAATTCATTATGAAGCATGAAAAAGAATTTATTGAGAGACCCAAACACTTAACTGCTGAGGAGAAACCTGTTTTCCTTCTTCCAGAATTTTAGGGTGATGAGACATTTGAAAGAATTAACAGAAGAATAAGATCAGCACTAAGAAGGAGCTTCTCTGCTGCTTGACTCATCTCAGTTTGCAACAAACACTTCACGTCACCTTCAGCTGTGTATATTAATCCAGCTGGGCTTGTGGAAGAAATTACATAGGAAGGATCTGAAGAAAGGCTTCTACTCAATTTTATGATCATAGTCCTAGAAACCTGTGTTTGAAAGGCAGTAAGATCTTTACCAGTGCAATCGTCAGGCACTTGATGAAAGCAGGGCATCAAATAGATGCTTCTGAACCCTTCGGGACAACCAACAAATAAGAAAGGCCATGTTTATTAAGGTTTCAGACATTTTCAACTAGAACTTTGTACTCAGAAAAAGACTATAATTAACCTTTCTTTACCTTGCACATGTGTGTAAATAGTTTTTATCCGTTTGTTGCATCATATGTTTATTAATTACTTACTGACTGTTAATCACCCAGCATAATGGTTTTCTAGTTTGTCGTAAACTGACATAACCTACTAGCTCTTTAACAACACTTTCCGCTACATTCCTGTCTGTTTATTGTCCTTCCACATATCTAGAATTTTCTATCCCTTCAGATATGGATTGTCAATGATTATGACTAAGATTTATGATTATTAATGCTGTATTTCGTAGACTGACTACCCTAATTTAAATCCCGGATTTTGAATCCTCATTTATTTCTGCATATTGAGAGTAAGTTGTGTCATTATTACTACTAATATTTGATTTCAATTGTTGGTTGATTGTATTAGATGAAATACCATGAAATAAAATGAGCCCATTTTATCCTGTGATTATCTTTATTCTTGCTTTATTCAAATTTTGCACGGGAGCTAGATTTATAATATTGGTCAATTAATAATCTAGGCATTTTGAACTTCAAATATTGACCCACTGAAAAAACCGGCTGCTTCTTGAATTCTTTAAGGCTGAACGATTCTAAGTTATGGATGAACATCAATGCCTCAATGGCCTAGTGAGTAACGCTTTGGCCTTTGAAGCGGTGGACACGAGGTCTGAGTCTCTGTACAAACAGGACCACTCATGGGGATGGAGGTACATTTGTCTGGTGAGTCTCAAACAGGAAGAAACTCGCGTCCTGTATTCTTCTGCTAGCCACAGCGAATTCAGTTATAAAAATAAATATTTAGGCAACATCGAGGTGTCCACTTAGAGGCCTATATGCCAGCAGGTATCTATCAGAACTATTCAGTATAACAACCGACAATTGCTAGTATTATCAAATAACTAGAACAATAGATAACATATCTGTGATTAAAAAAAGGAAAATTCGCCTGAATTTACCTTTCTCAAGCCTTTTCCAATGTTCAATTACTTCAGATTTTAAGCAGATAAATCTAATCTTTCCATAAAGAACCATTTTGTTATTGGTAGAGAGATTATGAAGTTCTACTACTTGCACTGATAAAATATGTTAATCAAAGAATATGCAGCTCTCTCATGCGCTTTGTGAATAAGTCTGAAAGTGCACCTCGTTGGTTTGGTCATCTATATTTCAACCAGCTGATAATCAATTCTAACCATACTTAATTAATTGAGATTAGCCAGCTAAATTTCTTAAAGAATTAGTTAATGAGGTCACCCAACTCAGATGTGAAGATGGTTATTCCTGGGTGACATTAGTTAACGAATCGTACTGAACCGTGAGTTGACAAAGGTGATAGAAAACGGATAGTGTAATCCCATTTTAGCCATTAGTGTGAATCCTGAACTTCATCTACGATATGTTTATTGCACCCGATTCCACAGAGTTCAAAAAGTATATGAACCCAAAATAATTATCTTTAATTTTTGCTAAAATAATCGTTACCTGCTACGATCTTTTCGTTCCTAATATTTAGACTAAATTACGTAAAATAGAAAGATTCGTTCACGATATTTATGACCTGAAGGACTTACCTAAAGTTTAAATCCGTCCTAACAGTATCTAAAATTAATCGTGACTGTTCATTCGCTTCATCCTGCATCATTCCTCTCTCTTCTGCGTTTAGATTCTGCAAAAAGGTCTGAAAAAGGTTTTTTTTTTCGTCATAAATCGTAAAGTTTATAATCTCATTTTACAACCAATAAAATCTATAAGTTTTCAATACTCAAGTTGCATACAGATCTCTTCGTACTGTTAACTATACATCACCTAGTGTAACTAAAAACCGTTTAAGCAAAAATATTATGTAACGATAGATTTTAAATCATATTTTTTTGAAAGTAATGTCTTCCTGTTTTCTCTAAATGGTGTGATCTCCCCTTTAGCTTGAGTAAAAATATCACAACTGCTTTATGAATACTGATGTTTAGATGTGATAAGACTGAAGTCAGTAGTGACCATTGTTGGTGGTTAGATGGTATGGTACGTTAGAAACGTTTTTTGCCAACCGGTTTTCAATTTTTACTTGAATAACTCTGTGGGAGAAACTGTAGCTGCTGTACAAAAGCGTTTTCAATAATAAGGCTCTGATTTTCTAAA